AGTTTTATTCATAACACTATGTACTTGATCCTTTGCATAGGGGATCCGATGGGAATAGAAAATAATATAAAATCAAACGGATTCACTATATGTTCGGTTTTAGTGGATCAGATGGGAACAACCGACTAGTATGCTACTAATATGCTATGAAATAGCATTTTTTGAAGAACGGAGATATAGCATGCATTTGTGCAGCTCTGAACATCTGAATTTACTCGTACATCGACAGGGAGAAACTTCCTTGCGTCGCCCGAACATCAGAGACCACGATCTATCACGAACTAATGTGCTGCGTTTCTTCCTGTAGATATAGCATACGTTCTCAATCAGATATCTAACGCTCGGGTTCATTTCCTGACGCTGAATCGGCGTATATGTACTAACACCCTTAGTGTATAAGGCCATGGTACAACTTTCGAGTTGTGAGATTTAAATATTGTACTAACAAATATAGTCGATAACTTTCTCATGCTTAATTAAAAGTGTTACAAAAAAATCTGATAAATATAATTAGGTAAATGAAGCTCTTTTTTAAGCTGTATTATAAAGAAATTGATGCCTAAAATACAGGTACACATTTACTTAGTTTAAGCATCGCAATTACCCACACATTAGGTCCTAATATTAAAATGTATAGCTTTAGTATGAAGATTGTATAATTTAGATTCCCTTCTTAATGCTTATTTTAATACCTTATTAGCTTTATTTACATTTGTTTTACTTGTATTGTATCAGATTAAGTTATATTGAAATTAATTTATCTTTATGCAATTCGTATGTATGTATATACCACAGCTGGACATTGGTCTACTATAAGAATTACACCTTATTCTGCCAGTGAGTTAGAGCGTTCACGTGTTTTCCAAGCTTTTCCCTGGCCATTAGCGAGAGATCTTTAAATACGCTTTAAGTCTTAAAATAGACTTCGGACTCAGGTTGGTCGGACAATTATAAGGACAATTAATCAGGTGGATGTTTTCGGATGGTTATGGAGCCTGGACTGTTGGTACGGTGCGATTCAAACGATGGCTCACCTCGCATCGTGCTCTGCTTAACACCTACACGCTCGAGGATTTAATGGCGGCTTCTAGTGACACGGTTGACGTCGTCGCCGAGTTCATAATAGTAAGTAACAAATACATCACTGTCATACAAAATCGGAAACACCTACGCTACGAGAGCTTACAAAATCTGACTAATGACACCAGGAGCTCACAAGAAAACGGAACATAAGCATGCGCGTAAAGAGGTGAACATAACTTTGCCCGCCGTGAGCAGTCGTGCGGAACCGAATGCTGAGGATGTGCAAGGATTGTAATGTGAATGAAAGACTTATATGGTAGGCACTTATCGCGTAACCTCGAACGAGAGACGGAGCCCTGATTCTGGGTAACAATAAGATAGTGTCCATCAACACGATAAGAATAAAACGTAGAAATTAATGTGCAGGTAAAGTATATGACGCAGGAATTTGAAACGTTGACCTTTCAAATGAAAATCAAACATTGAACCAATGAGCTGCCTATTCTATGATTTAGTAAAATATATTAGTTAACACAAATACTCAAATTACCTTATACCGTTACTTATAATAACTAATACCTCATACACTCGCGTAACTTACTCACAAGATAAATAGGAGCAGTAGACCTCCTGGTAAAATGGTTTACCCAGGAAAGTGCTGCGACCATACTATTTCTGTCGGCTAGCAGAGCATTACAGCGTTTCGGTTCTGAAGAATAAGAGTGCTGGTGAAATTACAGGCCCATGAGACTTTTCAACCTATGCCTCAGGGTTACAGGCGCAGTGGCAGTAGCTCTCAGATCTTTGCGATTTAAAGCTCTAAGTGGCACTGTAACTGTACAACTCATAACTTGGTATGAAGCTCAATAAATAGAAAATTAGTACAGAGTACTGAAAAAACTGACCTCAATAGTCATTAATCCCCTTGTTTACCACCCTTGGAGGTCGAATATTTTCATCAAAATCCGATTCACAAATGCCGGAGATATCGAGTGACATACATAAAAACATATCTACAGTCGAATTGAGACTCCTCCTTGTTTTGAAGTCGGTTAAAAATTGCTATACAGTTGTCTCATGTTGTCGATAGTAACGTCAACGTTGTACAGCCATGGTAAAAGTACAAAATTTTAAAAATGTCAACTGTGAAGTACCGGAAAGTGCTTGAGCAGAAGTGTTCTTTCAAAGACCCTCTCGCGATTCTGTCGAGCACCTCTCAAGAAGGCTTTGGTAGCACCTTTTTGGAGCTCTTCGGGCGCCGCCATTTTCATATTTACGCTTAAATACGAGGTTTTACTTTTCACTTTGTTTCACATTATTAGAATAATGTAAGTGGTAAACTGCTTTATTATAAATTACGTGTATGTTATTGATTTTATTAATATGCACTCAGCCTGGCAATAAATGTCAATGAACGGCCGTGGTTTTATGATACCATGTCACGGGACGAACAAGAACGGATTTCAAGTTTTCGAACTCTATAAGTTTGACGTCGCTCTCTTTCTGTAATGTTAAGAACATTCCATTTTTTTATAATAACAAGTGATGGGAGGAACAAGTCCAACGCCTGGTGGTAAGCGACACGCCTGTCCATGGCAGTTGCAGTGCCACTCAGAGCTTTAAATATTGATTAGTCCCATGTAACTGTCATTTTACCCTTCAAAACCGGAACGCAGTAATGCTTAGATTGCTACTTGGCGGCAGAAATAGTTAAGGTGGTAGTACTTCCCTGGAGGAACTCTTTAACAAATAGCTCTATTCTTACTAATTTCCCGTTAACCAGAGACTTCTCAATCAAGTTTGGTTTTACATATGTAAAACGTCATGTATATAACTAAAATTCATTTATGAAGTAGAAACACAGTACTTAACACTTCCAAAAAGGTATAATTAAAATTTAACAAACCCCGGATACAGCAACGTACTCCAAAAATTCTGTAAAGCCACCACCTTTAAGCCAACAACTCGTGAAAACGTTTTTAAAATGTAAACATTTTACCTATGGAATAAATGATCTATTTGAGTTTGCTCGGCAGTACAATTGTTTTGCGACTGAGATCCGTAAACTAACTAGGAAAAAAGCTGTAAACGGCTGAACAGATGTTTATGAAACATTACAATTAAAAAAACCTTCAACTAATGAAAAAGAAACCGCCTTGAGATATCAGTCCATCCGTATAAGATACACACACGCAAATACACTAACAAAGGTTTTAATCTTATACTTAGCTCCCCTCTTTTTGCGTCATGCCACAAAATTGCACTTTCTTTGTACCGATTTGTAAGGGAAATGGAACATTGTTGCCTGTCACGATCGACAAAAAATATTTGTAGTATAAATCATTGTCTACTAACACTATATCTTTTTATTTTATTCACGAGAAATTTCCGCAAAAAAAGACCTAATTCAGTTGGCGATTGTGAGTTGTGATAGAGAAATGTAGATTAATTATGTATATATATCTTGAGAAAGGAATATCTCGGCTAGTATTAATAACCCGAAGACGACAGGCTGGACTAATGACATTCGTCGATCGCATTTCGTCTTCCGCCATTACATGGTCGATCTAAAATTGTTACGATTACTCAATACACCAAATTAGATTTATTTTAAGTAAGTTATATTATTTTGCACAAATAACATCTAAAACTTCCTTTCCAACAATATAAACAACTTCTAGTTGGCCTTCATTATCTATTCCTTCTAAATTTACGTGATTTTAAAACCATTCTATTGACTAAATTTGAATTTGCTACTAAATTCTATTACCTATCGCGTACCTTTTATATTTTGCCATGGATTTTTAACTCACTATTGCCCGATCGGTCTCTCATTAGGGAATTTTGGTTGAATATTTAGTTATAATATATACCTATTTATGAGCTTTTAAAAAACTCCAGACATTTTAACACTGCATTCCTATTGTACAGCACAACGTCTTTAATAGCGACTGTAAAATACAAAATCGCATCAGATTTTCGATGTTACAAATCTGGAAGTCATGTAAAAATTATATGAAACAAAATGGAAACAAAGGAAGATTTTATAGAAACGTTGTCGTAGGAGATGCTTACTGGTTTAATAAAAAGTAAATCAGTAGAATTTACAATACTACAAATCGGAAGTCGTTCGAACAATCAATTGTATATTACTAGATTCTATACTTCAAAGCTACTCAACAATTTCTTATCGTATATTTAGAAAATATTCGTAGGTTTGCTACAATTATGCTTTAATTTGAAATAAACGCCTAATGCTCTTCTTGGTCCAAATTAACATTTGAAAAGTATTTTGATATGTTAATTTTGGCAGGCGTTGTGAATTGCAATCGCTCAAGTTGCAATGGCGAAAACATTCTTATGTTGCTATTGAACATACAATGTTAATTTATTTCATTAATTGAAATGAATTAACACTTAAAATGAAACAAAATTTAAAAGTATAAAAAGCAGACAGCCATGTTTTTTATACTTTTAAATTTTGTTTCATTTTAAGTGTTAATTCATTTCAATTAATGAAATAAATTAACATTGTATATTCAATAGCAACATAGATCGTAGTTTGTAATTTATCATTATAGTGAGAGAATCTGTTATCATTCTGATAAGAAATCTTTAAAATGAGATAAAAAGATAAAAATAAAGATAGTGTGTAATAATAAAACAAAATGCCTGTCTGTTACGAAAGAGTTTCAAGTGTGAATAAAAGTAATTTTTTTTTTGCAATCATTTTGTATCAATGTAAACACTTGTGACATATTTTTTACGTATCCGATACCATTACTTACTTTGTTTTTTTTAATACATTTTATTTTTCCAAAAATGATGGTGAACTTATTTTCGTCGAGCTATTTCACGACTTTAGTTTTATGAATTAAAATCACAAATATCGGACCGAAGGTATCGAACAAAGAACACAAAGAGATTCATAAAATTGTAATTCTCCTTGAGAAGTGCAAAAAACAAATACCACTTACCTGTTTGACAATGAGTCTTGCAACGCGCGGGCTGGCGAAAGTAACGAATCCGTAACACTTGGATACCCCAGCTCTGTCATAAATCACTCTGGCAGCTGTCACCGTCGCAAAACCAGAGAAGAACTTCCACAGGTCTTCATCCGTGGTGGTCAAAGTAAATCCTCCCACGAAAATTCTATTATGTATCACTGTACCAAACTTCGGAGCATCAGAAGGTGGTAGGCTATCATCTGTGTCTTCCTCGGGGGAGTTCAATAGGGCCTTCAATTTCTCATGAGGGTCGACGTTCTTCTTGCTGTTGGCAGCAGTTTCTTCCACCATATGCGCGCAGCTCGCCGACTCACTTTTAATATACCTTTTAACTTCCATTGTTCATTTAAAACATGATCCCTTGTTTACTAATCTAAATCTCCTAGCGTACTATCCACTACCGAAAAAACAAGTGACTGCCGTATCGATTTTGTCGAGCCTCGCTCGCTCACTGACATGCGCAAAGTCTAAACTCAACATGCGAGAAGATAGGTAAAATTATTTGTTAGAAATACACTACACCTTTGAGATAAGATGTTGTGTGGTTTAGATTTTGTAGATACGCACTAAAAATAGTATTTGAGCTATTGTCGCCCGCTATTTTTAATGATCGAGGGAATTGGGTCATTCGAATGATGAGCTGTGGTTCTTGTCGAGGTGATTGCTTATTGTCATGGGTAGGTGGCGTTAGCAATTCATTTTAATCATAACAATTTATATAATTTTTACATAATTGTATAAAAAGCTAGTCTTTTATAGTTTTTGGTTATCAGTCAAGAAGCTTTCTTGTCCAAGCAAAAAAGCAACCAAAAATAGGTTCACAGAAGTGTTATTATTAGGACATATAAAACACTTGTAGTACATACATGATGCAATAAAGCAACATTTTATTCTGATAGTCTGCATTATATAGGCTTATTACGTTTAATAAAAATTATGTTTCTTGAACGAATTATTTATAGAGATAATCTTATACTACGAAAAATATTACTAGGAAAAACAAAACGCTCTCATCACATTGACAGCTGCTGACATGTTTAATTTGAAGTTTTACATAAAATTGCCATTAAATAACGTTTCCCGATTTTCAAGCGCAGGCTTGTTTTTGTCACATGTATGGCTATGGAAACATTTCATTAAAATTATATTCTGAATGATTGATAATCATGACATATAATTTATAAAATTAATTTGCTAAAGTCCACTTAAGTTTTGGAATCACAGTGACGACCCCGCCGCTAAGATATTTTTTTTCAACTCCATTACTTATTTTTACAGCAAATGTAATAGTACTTTATCATTTTGAAATTTCAAACATGATAGCGTTTTTTGTTAAAGTAATATTTGGTTCTATCAACTTTTTTATCGACTTTAATGGCCTAAATTTTTTAAATTGTCCATTATTTAGAATAGGTACTTAATTTTTTTGTTATTGCCAAAATTTATTTAATGAAACTTTTCCGATCTAAATCGCACAAGTCCTATGATCACGTTTCCATCTCATGACGCCATGGAACCTGTAAAGAGACCTAAATGTTGGTTTGTTTGAAAAAAAAAACTATTTATCTATTAATTAACTAATTTGGCCAACGTTTTCACACACAATAGAAAAGCTTCAGTTCAAATTAAATTAACAAACAGAATTTTTTATTGCACATTCGCCAGAGTGCAGTAAGTAAAAAGCTGATTCATCCAATCATCAATATTACACACTTAAATAGCGAGGAAATATTCACCCATGATCAGTTCAGCTTATAGTAAGAACGGGCAGACACAATGACCCCAAAGTACGACCGAGCGGGTCTGGACAGTTTAATTCACACATGGTTCACATATTTCAAACAGATCTACATTTTATTACCAGGAAAATAATTGAGTATAGTTCTTTACCTAACAACAGAATATTAATAATATTCATCAGAATAAGAAATCAGAATATTAAGAATAAAAATAGATTATTTTTATTGAATAGTCGCAGTGACAATTCTGTTAGTATATTGCAAGGCTTTATTTATTACGTCACGTACACAACGCTGCCTACACATTTGAAATAGTAACTTTATCGAGTAAACTTTAAATGCTTTCTCGGGTATTAGGTATCACTAAACTTTGGTCACATCAAACTACCAGCTGTCGCTGTCAGTGTCAAATTCCAGTGTTTTGTATTGCGTACCTACCTACAGCGTTCCTCTGAAAGTATGGCAAAATGCAAATTTATTGTTTCCTCAATTAACAATTAATTTCGTGTAGGAATTTTTAAATACGGATTTACAAAACCTACTCATGGATGTTGTGCGTGAATAATACCCAAAAATATTTTAAAAGTGCAGTTTTTTACTTGTTTCAAAGTGATGTCAGTGCTCCCATTATATTGGCGAAAATTGGATTAACTTTTACTCGTAAATAAACGTTCTAGGTAAGTATTGTGTTGATAATCAATTTTATTTCGTTTGCTTGTGCTTACAGATGCATATACTGTTAATTGATTCCTTGTTCCTTAAATATGTCCAAATTACGAGTGGGAGTTTTACCCATTTTCGTTGTGTTGCAAGTGTACCCGTTTTTTTTTTTTATTTGGCTGTATCTAGTGCACCGGTTGCGTCGTCTTCTGTTTTTAAACGCAGGAACCGGTCTTCCTTCGCGCTTGTGCAATCTTTAGGCACCATTAAAATGGTGTATTTAAATCTATTCTTGCTAAGCTGTAATAATTGTTGTACAGTAAGTAACAATACAGTACAGTCAACTCAATGAACTCAAGCCCAATTCAAACCTTAATTCTTGATAAAGTAGTAAGTTTCATAATAATTGCTGTACAAATAGTGATGTCAAAGTTTTTGATTGTGTAAGAATATGAAATTTGGCTTTAGTTTTGAAAATCACTTTACTAGTTTTATGTCTATGAAGATGTAACAGAAGTGCTGTGGAGGCATCCATTAACCCTGTTAGGGCCCTCAAAATTAATCTAAAATTAAAAAGACATAATATTATGATATTTTATCAATGACCCATCTCTAAGCATGACCCATTAGAGCTCCCATAAAGGCACCGCTACCTATCTGGAAAGTAGGGAGGGTACTGTGCGTGCACCTGAGGCTTGCTTGCACAGGTTATAGTGCCCTTCCCAAATAACCGAGAGGTTGATAGAGAGGGCCACAATAAATAAAACCTAACCCATTAAATCACAAAGCTCCAGCATTATGTTTATCCTGTCTACATAGTACATATCTTTACAACAGGTTTGAATTTATTGTTCTAGGAAGAATATTTAGAATTCAGTATTAATTAATATAGATCTATGGGGATGGTATATATTTCATTTATATGACCACACTAATTGCCTAGAATTAGAAAAGTTAGATTCTCAAATTGATGATACTAGGAATTTAGCTCAGACCTGCTTGTCTAGCGCTCTTATGACTACCGGCTGGGCCACCAGGGCCATAGATATAGAAAAAGCTTAATTTTAACAAGTTAAACTTTCACCATGTTGTTCCATGTTGATCGTCACACTTGATGATTTTGACACATAGAAAATTTGTATTATTGTTATGGCTACTTATAATTAAAAAATGAACTTAAAATGAATTATTAACACGTTGAACGCCAAGTATATTTATACATGTTTCCAATGAGGCCGTGGGGGACAAACCTGACCGACACACTATGATTCCGTTTGGGCCGTGGGGGACAACATATGACCGCGTGCTAGTAGCATTTTTAAACTTCTATATTGAGCCGACGGTCACATATATCTAACAAATTTGAATCTAAAATGACCGACGCGGCCCTGTAGACAAGTGCAATCAAATTGGTTCTAAGAAATAATTTAAATTTTAAAAAATTTGGCTTCGTTTGCACGGCCTTGAACACGTCATCCATAAATTGTTCGAGTTTTAGAGTTTCTCAGTAAATTATAAATCCTTTTTTTAATATAAATTGATAGTGTTGGTGCTGAATAAAAAACGGGTTTTATATAATTTTAAACTATTTGTTTATTTTATAACAAATTTTATAAAAAGTTAAAATAATTGAGATCACTGTTTATATCAATCAAATGAGATCAATTTGTTAGGAACAATGAATTAAAATGAAGTAATTAAATGTTGAAGTAATTAAAATGAAGTAATTAAATGTTGAAGTAATTAAAATGAAGTAATTGAATATAAAAAATAACAGGTACTTTTAGTTTTTCTTATTTTGAGAATAAGCAAAAACAACAGGACCTACTCAATGAATTTTGTGAAAACAATCCAGGCACAGAAAAGGTTTATCTGGGCAGTTTTCACAGAAAGTAGTGACTTTTTTTGTTTTATTTTTTGCTAATTTACGTCCCATAATTTTCACATGATCTTTGTAACATTGTTGACATGTCCGACGAGTTTTGCTACTGGGCCCATCTTTTCTAGAGAGTTTGTGCTTTAATCTTTTTGATCTGGAAACTTTTTCAGGTATTTCTTTTTTTGGCAGCAAACCCTTCAATATCTCTTTCCTAAAATTTACAATTTGCATTTTATTTCCAGTCACTTTTTGATGGAGTACCCACGCATTTACAACAGCAGTGTTCAACAGCAAATTGATAGCTACTTTCTTATACCATTTTACTGACTTTCTTAGTGGTGTTGAATAAGAAGTCATTTGGTCCGATAGATCAACTGCTCCTTTGGCTTTATTGTAGTCTAGAATTATCTTCGGTTTCGAGATCACTTTCCCTCGCTTGTTTGTCACTCTCTGAAAGTTATTGGTATGTTTTGTTGAAAGTACAAGGACATCTCGTTTGTCTTTCCACTTTAATACAGTAATTCCATCTAAACTCTCCCTGGCAATGTGTTGGCCTTGTTTCAACTTAGCGTTGACTACTTCTTTTGGTACATTTTTTCTGTTTTTACGAAGTGTACCGACAAGATGAGTTTCATTTTTTAAGAGGTCTCGTGCTAAATCAGTACTTGTGTACCAATTGTCTGTGTACATGGTATGGCCTTTATTCAGTAAGTCACTGCACAATGACATGACAACTTTAGCTGACGTAGTATTGACTTCGTCCTTTTCTTTCCCCGCATAAATACTAATTTTATACGTGTATCCAGGTAGAGTGCATAGTTTAAATTCTTTAATGCCGTATTTATGGCGCTTCTGTTTATTATATTGCCGAAATATTATTCTTCCTCGGAAGGGGACAACGCTTTCGTCAATACACAGATCTTCACCAGGAGTATAATGTTTCTTAAAGTTTTCATTCATAATATCCAGTAGATTTCTTACCCGGTACAGCCGATCAGATTTATTGGCATCGTCGTTTTCAGAAAAATGCAACATTTGTAATAGAATCTCAAATCGATTAC